CCTTCGCTGCCTTGCATCGCATCCACTATATATTTAGTTCTATAGTAGAAATTAAATGTGAACAAAAACACTTGTGCTTTTCAAAATATTTTACTAACTAATAGTTGAGGGGGGGGGGGGGGGGGGAGGAATATAAAGTAGTTTTTTTTTATACAACTTATAATGACAAACAAGCTGACGGCCCACCTGATAGTAAGTTGTAACCGTCGTCTATAGACATGAGCAGTACCATGGACTTTGTTATGTCCATACTGTATACTGTTTCGCCCATGATACCCCCATGCGTTGCCATTCCTGAGGACTCGGGTGTTATTCCTCTGTACCCTATAAATTCACGCCATATCCCACCCATCAAACCGAAACACAGCCATGCAAACACAACTGCTTCACGGTAGAAACACGAATGGAACAGAGGTGCCCAAGCAATATCTATATATTTAGGATCAATTCCAATAATTATATATTTTGTTCACGCACGTTTTACAACACGTGTTTCACCTCTAAACGAGGAATCTTCGGGCAAATTATTAGATCGCTTCTCGGAGCCTAGTCTTAACCTTGTAGAGTGAATGCTGAGCTGATAAAGAGAATATTATCACGTGAACTGTATTATTTACATTTATATTTATTTATTATTATTATATACATATCACATACACCGAAAATATATAAAATCAGTCGACTGGGAGCGGAGCTAATAATCACTTATAACCTCGCAGGAATGTTACCAAGCCCTAAAACTATCACCAACCCCGTATTTAGTATTTGATACGTGATACAAGCGTTTACACCGGCCATAATAAGGCAGTTGCCGCAATCTACTACTGTAATTTTGTGTTATAAAAACAAGTTCGGTCCAGACCAAACGTGGAAGGGTCTACTTATAGGGCCATTAGATATGAATTTATTATGTTCATTATAAATAAGAGAACTACTGGAGATATTTTAGATTTTTTATTTTTACTAGCAGGATGTTCGGATTGATACCTGCTGCTGATTTTCACCACCGTACAACCCGCAACAAACTAAAGTTTCATCCCAATCATCTGGACGAGTGGCGGTCTTCCACCGTGCGTTTTTCAAGGCACTCTCTTCCACGCACAACCATTCTTTGGAATCAACTTCCAGCAGCAGTATTTCCGAACCGATACGACAACATAACCTTCAAGAAAAGAGTATATTACTTTTTAAAAGGCCGGCAGCACACCTGCAATGCCGCTGGTGTTGTGGGTGATCATGGGCGGCGGTAGTCACTTACCATCAAGTGAGCCGCATGATCATTTGCCCCCTGTGTTGTAAAAAAAAAATGGTGATGTTGTAACCAATAAATATTAAATTGATACTTGACTACTTGGACAGCAAAGCGCACGAACTTATCTATCCTGACGCAACTCCGCATAAAAGATAGGCTCCCGACAGTCTGCTATCGGAGGATTCTTAGATACTTCGGTCATGTTACTCGACGACAGTCCGACAATATGGACAAACTAATGGTTGTAGGCAAGATAGAGGTGAAAAGACCACGCGGACGATCGCCTAGTCGATGGCCGGACCAAGTAACCACCGTTATGGGACTGTTAATTGCAGCTGCTCTGCGAGAAGCTGAAGACCGGGCGAAATAGAGTGACATCATAAGAAAGGCAACAGACACCTTTCAAGGGCACGACCTTCAGTAATGGAGTGGACGAAGAGAGAGAGACTTGACTATTTATCAGCCAAATGATTCATCTACGCTCTGATATAAGTTTGCACTTTTACTGCTCTCTTGTCCTGCGCGCCTAATACGTTTGCCTGAACTGATTATGACGGGGGGAAACGAATTGTTAGTAATGGAGTCTGACTCATTGCTAGCAATACAACCTATCAGGTCGACCTCCACGCGGTTCCCCCTAGAAACCATCGTGGTTAATTCTAGTGGAATTCGTCACAATGGACTAATTGACCTGTTTCATTTTCACCTGTCATCCCTCACTGGTGCTCCTCCAGTGTATACCGATAGCGCAGGCGGAGTTACCATTCCATTATCATCCATTAAAAAAAACTGACTATAACTGGGACATATTTATTTATTTATTAAACTTTACTAAAGTACGTGTATAATTAACTGTAACATATTATTTTTTTTGTTGGATGAAAATGGTATGGTAACTCCGCCTGCGCTAACGGGATACGCTGGCGGAGCACCAGTGAAGGGTGATAGATGAGAATGAAAATAGGGCAGTTAACCTATCATGATGAATTCATCAGGAATTAATCATGATAGTTTCCAGGGGGAACCGCGTGGAGGTCGACCTGGTTAGGTATATTGCTAGCAATGGGATTTTCAGTCTCTATTACTAACAATCCCTTTTCCCCAACTGTAACATATTGATTGATCAAAATAAATAATAGACTATGGTATATCCTTATATGGTACCTATGGTACATATCAAATGTCATGTCGATTGGTTAAGCCATTAAAACGGCAAGAGATAAGGAATAAACAAACTTACTTTCACATCATTAACATTTAAGAGTAAAGCGTCTATTACACAATCCATTCATCTGACTAAAGCTTATAAAAAAAGTTTTATAATAAAATTTTTAACAATTTCGGTTTACACCTTTTTTGTGGAGAAGTACAAGTATTTTCTAATGAATTTTCAATGCATGTAATAAAATCGTAACTGATTGGTGTCTGTACATAAAAGATATATAAGAAAAACTATTATTGGGGGACTTTATGAACGCAATACGACCCAAAACAATGATATTTAGAATTTTTGCCTGTATGCCTTTACGTTTGTGCGAATTGATCTCAGAAACGGTTTAACCGATTTAAATATGGTTTTCACTTGTGGTTTGCGGTTTGCACTACCTAACATTTGATGTTTATTTTATTTCAATCGGTTCATAAATAAAAAAGTTATATCAATCTAAAGAAACACATATAAAATGCTATAAAATAACCGATCAGTTGAATTGCTTGAAACTATATGAAGATATTACATATGTAATTATCAATTAAGTACATATAAAATACAATATAAGACCGGATTCATGAAGAGTTCCAACGGGAATAATATACGGGAACAACATAGAAGCGGGCAACGCAGCGGGAAACGGCTAGTAATATATGTATGTATACAAAATCGACTAAATGCAGACAATCACAACATACAGAAGCAATACTTTGATCTCCGAATAGCATCGCAAAAGTGGTACTATTAGAGTCAAAGTATAGATCCATAGTACCACATAGTACGTTTACATAGTTACCATTTACCATCAGCTAGACCGTCAACTTGTTTGCTATTCCAAATTGCTGACGTTTTCTATTTTAAAAAAAAAAATTTGTCGCACGATTCTCATTTCTCTGGTCTCCTTGAAACGTAGCACCAAACAGGATCTCATATGTTGTCACATCTCTTTATCATGCCACATACGAGTATATTTGTTTTCATTTTATCTGGATATGACCGTTTTATTTTTACTATCCAGCATAATTTCTGATCAAATAAGGACCGTATTACTTTTGCTGTTCAGAAAGGTTTCTGATCAAATAAGGACCGTACTACTTTTGCTGTTCAGAAAGGTTTCTGATCAGACAAGGACCGTACTACTTTTGCTGTTCAGAAAGGTTTCTGATCAAATAAGGACCGTACTACTTTTACTGGCCAGAAAGATTTCTGATCAGATAAGGACCGTACTACTTTTCTGTTCAGAAAGATTTCTAATCAGGTGAGAACCGTACTACTTTTGCTGTCCAGCAAGATTTCTGATCTAATGGGGACCGTACTACTTTTGCTGTTTAGAAAGATTTCTGATCAAATGAGGACCGTACTACTTTTACTGGCCAGAAAGATTTTTGATCAGACAAGGACCGTACTACTTTTCTGTTCAGAAAGATTTCTAATCAGGTGAGAACCGTACTACTTTTGCTGTCCAGCAAGATTTCTGATCTAATGGGGACCGTACTACTTTTGCTGTTTAGAAAGATTTCTGATCAAATGAGGACCGTACTACTTTTACTGGCCAGAAAGATTTTTGATCAGACAAGGACCGTACTACTTTTGCTGTTTAGAAAGATTTCTGGTCAAATGAGGACCATACTACTTTTACTGGCCAGAAAGATTTCTGACCAGATAAGGACCGTACTACTTTTGCTGTTCAGAAAAATTTCTGATCAGATAAGGACCGTACTACTTTTGCTATTCAGAAAGATTTCTGATCAGATAAGGACCGTACTACTTTTGCTGTTCAGAAAGGTTTCTGATCAGACAAGGACCGTACTACTTTTACTGTTCAGAAACATTTCTGATCAGGTGAGAAGTGACACTTGTGACAAATAATCACACTAAAATAATGCAATGATCCTTGGGATCAGAAGACCATCACAAATATATTGCAGTTTCAATAGAAGCAAATATCTCAGACAGGACTATTCTTGACATACAGGAAATTACTGTACTCACTGTGTTTTTGTCGTTTGCGACAATTGTTTCGACTTCATCCGGAAATCTTCTTCAGGGGGTGTTTAGCGCTTAGCGCCAGTGTCTCACCTCGCATCTTTCTTGAAAGCAGTATTTAGAGTAGCCCTTATATTCAGCAGTGGACGTCAACCATTATGGTGATTAATAGCGTACATTGTGTATTTAGATTACCCTCTATATCGGAAGACAAAACCACTTCTTATTATAAAATCCACGCAAAACCGCAGTATTAAAGCTATAATCACGAAATGTATGATATCAAATACGCACACGACTCTATTTATATAACATCTTATAAAATATTGAAATTACTCACATCAGTTGTAAACAGTATAGGCATCAATGACCCCAGACATGTCTGAAGAGCAGACATGTCTGGCTCGTTTCAGCTCGAATGCTCAGCCAAGCATCAATGTTGCGCACATGTCGTGGCCACATTCACTTCTCATTAGGATAATTTATCCACCTCCCAGACATACTATTGAATATTAATGAAAAACCCTCGTATAAAACTGGGAAGATCTGGACGCCAAAACCATTCCTGTCCAATATTTCACAGAAATAGCTACGACCGCTTAAATCGAGCCATGAAATTCCAAAGCGCCGTCATCCTGGCCGTGATCGCTGTGGCTTCTTTTGTATCTGGCGAAACACCAAGGCAGTTCTACTGCGGGCGGCGCCTAGCTACCACGTTAGCGTACATCTGCGATGCAGACATCGCGGTGAAGAGATCGGGTCCGTACATCTCACTGCCGGAGTACGATGGTGAGTTCGGCTGGCCGTGGATCAGCTCTCGTGGTGCGCGCGCCATGCACGCCGTCAGAGGTAAGCGCGGAGTCGCGTCGGAATGCTGTGACAAGCCGTGCTCCATCGAGGAACTGCTCACCTACTGTTAGAAACAATTGTTGGCCCGATATTGAATTGTTTTAAAGGAAAGTGTTATGAAATAAATCGGTTTGTTAAGATTTTACCAGTGTTTCATTTATGTATTTTATAAATATTACAAATATATTATTTCTAAATGTGTATAAAATATATGAAAAATATATTTACTTATAATGTTTTTTTATTAAATAAACTTTACCAAAATGCGATTTTCATTACATATTTATCAACTCCTTTCTAAATATATTTCTTTAAAGCATATGTCTACATAGGATAAAACAAAGTCCCTTCCCGCCCTCCGTACGCTTGTATCTTTTAAACTACGCAACGGATTTTAATGCAGCTTTCATCAATAGATGGAGTAATTCACAAGAAAGCTTTATACATATATTTTAATATTGTTTTATCTTAAGTTACTGAAATATTCTGATAATTATTTAAGACATCGAAAGACATCAAGTCGACCGAGAGCTTTTATCGAAAATGTTGAAATATAACAAAATAAAAAGTCAGTGATTTTATGTCACACAGATAACTTTTTTATAAATATTTTAATGTTTATACGATGTTTTATAAATATATAAATAATGTGGAGTTTGCAAATCAATTTACACGGATACAAGAGTAATAATATTAATCACTCGACATGGACACCACATTGCTTCTACATTGCACCTGTGCGAAGCCAGGGCGGATCGCTAGTTCAACAATTCAATACATATAACCATGCAAAATGAATTCTCATAAAAGTTCTGTAACCTGATATGTAAATACTGAGAGGGCTGTAAGGTGCATAATAAAAATCTATCGAGATACTTGGCACTTGGCGAGTAATAGAGCCTTCAAATAAATTTGTGGACCCCTGGGGTCTCCGCTGACTCCAAGTTTATAACTACGAGCGATGAAAATTATTTTATTCTTATTTTCATGTAAGTGGAGAGATAAATAAGTACTAGTAGCGAGATTAACTAAAGAGATACAAAAATATAAATTATGTAATGTTGAAATGTATTTTGTATAGAAATAAAAACGGAGAAGTTGCAAAGCAATAGAATGTCACGGTATAGTCATGTCATATACAGAAATGAAAGCCATATTTTAAAGAAAGTGTTAAGTATGAAAGTGGATAGATGTAAAGAAGAGAATGACTGAAAAGAAGGTGGATGGGCTGTGTGAAAGATGATTTCATAAAAGAGAAGTGAAATCGGAAATGACAGTTGACAGGGATTTGTGGAAGAAGAAGACATACTGCGCCGACCCCAAATAAATGGGAAAAGCCAAGGCAATGGTGAACCATAGAAATTAAAGTTTAGATTTTGATGGTTTACTCGTCCGATTCTTTAACTATAGATAAGCCGTGTGGTCCCTGAATAGAATAGGCCACCCCTTCCTATCCTGCGGGTGTCGTAAGAGAAGACTAAGTGAGAGCAAGGAATGGGCAGCAGCATCCCTCTAAAAACATCTCTAAAGTCCTGCCTGCGGTTGCCAATCCACTTGTCAAGCGTGGCAACTACTGAAAAACCCCCCATGAGGAAGGTTTACGCCCAACAATGGGACAGTTAAAGTCTGATATGATAATAGATAACCTAATAACACTTCGTACCTTTTTTCTATGCCAAAACGTCAAATGGATTTTAAGAAATAGAGCACCATTACCTATGTATCTGTCTACAACATCTTTCCTCCAAAATAAATGTGTCTATTATGATTTAGAATTTTTATTTATAAAGTGAATTTGATCGAGAAAATTATTAGCTATGATTCAAGAAAAGCTGTTCAGTATCTTGAAGATCATATAGCTCATTGAAAGAATCCACTGCATCCATTCAGATGACTCTGCAACACATTTGCGATTGTCGCTCCATTTAATGGTCGCGGTCGTTCTACACAGCGTTTGTTTATACGAGATCGCCGCTCGCGAAAGTATTTCATCCGTCATAGTCATATTTCATTTCAAGTGTAATATCTTGTCGATGATATATGTATTAACAACTCAATAATTCATGAATCCATTCATAGATTCATTCCTTCCTTTCGTCTGGTCGTTCATTCGTGAATTTATACAGTGTCCGGTACGTCTGGTACGTCCGATCCGTCCGGTTTGAGCTCCGGCCCGCCATTCGACCTCTTTATGTTGTTTCATTATGGTATAAGTACATAATTAATTCGTAACTTTTGAAAAGTTTTTTTACGCAACTTATAATGGCAAACAAGCTGACGGCCCACGGCTGGAAAGTGATAACCATCGCCTATAGATATGAGCAGAATAGCCACCAAAATAGGCCGAGCCTGTATCTCAGTAGGTAGCTAAATAACTTCCTTTAACTTTAACTTAATTGAACTGCTAGACGTTACAATATCTACACTAATATTATAAAGAGGAAAGATTTGTATTTTTGTGTGTATATATATATATATTTGTAATGAATAAACTAAAAAACTACTTTGCCGATTTTAAAAATTCTTTCACCATTAGAAAGCTACATTCACACTGAGTAACATAGACTATATTTATTGCTAGAAAAGATTAGGGATCTTTACTAAAACTTTAGTAACGTAAATTAAGGTGTACAAAAAAAATACTATAAAATATCTTTCGTCGCGTGCGCTGCGAGAACTATTGGTAATAGAACAAAAGTATGTTCTACAATATTGAAGAAAACATCATCGATATTATCGTTATGTCACAATAATCACTTTTTAAAATGTTGTAAAAATGTCCACCCGTCCACGTGCGAAGCCGGGACGAGCCGCTAGTAGAATATAAACACAGTCAAATTTGCAATGTCAAAGATACTTTTGGTGCAACATAGACAAATGTGGGTAGCATCATAATACCTCTCTTACAATTATAGTTCACCCACCCAATATAATATATAATTTGCCAGTCATTTTAACAGCCACATAAAGTGTTGACTTACAACAAATACCACGTACTTACGTAATACCAATAAAACCAATTTCAGGTGTAGCATGGGTTGACACGCCCCGCTCATGACTTGGGCCCTTAACTATTTTCCAGCGTTAGGAAATTAGAAACCCGTAAACGACGACAGCTCTTATCTACGATGTGTTTTCAAAAATTGTTCTGTCAACTGCATGTATATGTATTAATAACACATAAATTTGTGTACATTTATGTATGTTTTATTGTTGGAAGTAATCTATTTACCATCGTTGGTTGCATATGAAAAATGGATCTTAATTCCTCTCAGTCAACGTTTGACAAAACAGAAATTTAATTATGCAGTGGAAAAAATTATAAATTTTACAAGAATTTTACGAAAATTCATAGCATGATGATAATAAAAAGAACTTAACCGATTTGAATGTAGTATACTGGTAGGTTATATCCTGACTTAGTACACAGGATAATTTATGTACTGATGAATCAATACTTTAAATCAGTTAAGTAGTAAAAACAACTTAACGCATTTGAATTAAATTTAGTACATGGGTAGGTTATATCCTGACTTAGTAGTTAGTACATAGGATAATTTATGTACTGATGATTCAGTACTTTAAATCCGTTAAATAGTCAAAACCACTTAACTCATTTGAATTAAATTTAGTACACTGGTAGGTTATATCCTGACTTAGTACATAGGATAATTTATGTACTGATGAATTAATACTTTAAATCCGTTAAGTAGTAAAAACTACTTAACCCATTTGAATTAAATTTAGTACACTGGTAGGTTATATCCTGAATTATTTGACTATGTATTGATTGTCATTCAGCTGTTGTCATTGAGGTGTACGTTTTCCTAAAAATAAGTAAATAAATAATTTATGTACTGATAAATCAGTACTTAAAATCAGTACTAATTTGAATTAAATTTAGCACACTGGTAAACTATATCTTGACTTAGTACACAGGATAATTTATGTACCGATTCACACGGGGTTACCACTAGTTATAAATAGTTTTATCAATGGTACTAAAATTAGGAACAGAATACAAGATTATTAAACCCTTCGAATACATTATCTAAGAGAACACACGACCTTTCAAGGACCTATACAACATTCATATGTCGGTAGTTAGTTCATGTAATTGTTTACCTATAAGGAGAATCACGATGTGCCCTCTACCAATCCAAATATGTCATAAACGGCCATCACGGTATAGAGGATTTTCAACCTTATTGTTTAAGCTTTAAAACATATTGCTCAGGTGTGAAGGTTTAAAACTTAAATAATTTATGTCTATAGTGTAATTAGTGATTGTACCGAAGCAATTGCGCAATGGTTGGTAATCAATCTTTAATTATTACCTTAAGGTCTTCGCCCACTAATTACCTAGATAACATATCTCATAATATTGTTGGATCGACTATTAATTATATATTACTGGGTAATCAAAACTGTAGGAAAGTGGTAACCGTCGCCTATAGATATGAGCAGTACCATGGACTTAACAGAGTGTACTGTTTCGCCAATGATATCCCCCATGCGTTTCCATTCCTGAGGACTCGGGTGTTATTCCTCTGTACCCAGTAAATTCACTCCCATATTCTACCCTTCAAACCAAAAAACACTTTTGTACACACACACACACACACACATATATATATATATATATATATATATATATATATATATATATATATATATATATATATATATATATATATATATATATATATATATATACTATTTTTGTAAGTAAATATTTATACACATATACTACAACTAAATAGAGGTCACCTCTAAAGAACATCTCTAAAATAAAGTCACAATAATTTTATTAACAAATTTATTACTTCTATTTACAATTACAAAGGACGTCACTAAGCAAATTAAAAAAATAATCGATGCCATGACACTGGACGTCGCACACACATCAATCGGTTTAAATTATTAACTATTTGGCCAATACTGTAATAAATTTAATAGATAACAAAGTAAACCACTAAATTCGTTTTGAATAAACACTGTCATTGACTAGATTCGAGTTTTGTTAAATAAATTGTGTTTGACTTGGCAGTAGATAAGACAAATATTATACATACTTGTAATCTATTAGAAGTGTTTCACCTCACGTTAGTGTTAAGGTTTCAGCACGACGGGTTACCTGTAACAATACAAAATTTTATTTAATGTATATTTCACCTAAATGACAGAATAAATCTTTTTTTTTTATACAACTTAGGAAACAAGCTGACTGCCACTCTGATGGAAAGTGGTAACTGTCGCCTATAGACATGAGCAGTGCCATGGACATAAAAGATCTTTCTCCTAAGATCTTCTTCCAAAAGAAGCTAAATTCTA